ATATATACGAACAAGAGGGCTATCAGTTTCTCGGGAAAGAGAAGAGAACGATGGCGGCTAGTCGTCCAAGGTTACCAATGAAGTGAGAGAAAGAGGAACGAGAGGGGTAGGTATTCGTCGGGGTCAACACGAGAGAAAGGAGTACCATGAAGTGGTAGGGGGTTGGGGGGTTATGCGACCTATACACTTATTAATATGGTTAAAAAAAGTCGGTTAAGGTAAATTAGTCATTTATGTCGATTAAGGGCCCAAACTGAAATAAAACCAACCATAGAGACCATCCGAGTGAAAACAAGAGTTATGGACTAAGCACAAATTATACCCTCAAAGCAGAAGGACCATCCATATAATTTACTCTAAAAAAACTTGTTAAAAGAAACTAGTAAATGATCACTATAATTATTAGATTTCACTAAAGAAAGGGCAAATACCAGTTTCTCCATCAACTTTTTTTTTCAATTATTCATCCACCTTTTTTGTCAGGAAATAACTGGAGTCTTCAATAGGAACTGCATGCTGCACTATGCACTATACAGGAATGTATTCCCAATATGGGCGCTAGCTGATTATCGGAAGCAGCTTGAAGGCTTGTACTGCTGCTAGCTTTGCAAATAAACCATCCAAAAACAGGCTCTATGATGAAAAGCCCATACGTGTTTCCATTGTTTTAAATCTCCCGTTGTCAAACTTGATGAAGGAATTTGTAGTTTTCAATCTAATATTCATCAATTTTTATAATTCATTTGGCTATCTTCTTCCTACATTTGAATGTTGAACATGATGGTATTGAATTCTTTATGGTTATTTGAGATTTATCCGTGCTCAATGTACAAAGCACATATGTGATATGACAACATCCTTCTGCTAAAATAATTGTGGAATATTATGCTAATAGTGAGATTTCTAAATTTACTTCTCACAATGAAATGCCAAAGTAGCATCTATGTTTTTAGGAACCAACTGTTACTTGCCGTTTATTTATAATCAAGGTTCTAAATAACGTGAGGTTTGGCTTGGTGGTAAAGTCAAGTTTCAAGATTTATGAGTCATAGCGAGCCACATCGTTTAGTAAGGTGTGACTTATGATGGCAGTTTTGTATATACTTAATAATTCTATATATATACTTTCTAATATTATTCATATATATATATATATATATATATATATATATATATATATATATAA